CCTCCTCGTGGTGCACCCTGGGCAACGTATAATCCTACGGCAAAAAAGTCTATTAACCGGCAGCTGACTTCTCACTTCAAACTACCATCACCCCCACTGTATGTCATATTCGACCCCTACCAGAGAACTCATCTTACCCTTTCTGAGCGTTTGTGTCTGTCTGTTTCTTTTACATCTGTGAATCACTCTTCTATTCTCCCTCCCGAATTCTTCTCACTTTGATGTTCCTCCTCCCCTCTGTGAAGCCCGAAGTCAACTAAAGGGCTAATGATAACTATCAAAACGTCTGCCATTTGTTATAAATAAATAAATAAAACGATTGGGCTTTGAATTACTCCAGGATTTAATCGTTAGCACCTATGGGCACCTTAACAGCAGCCAACCGTTCATGTTATTGCAATGACAAGTTAAGGTGGGACACAAGCCCAACCTAGCGATGAGAAAGGCCCTGTTTTCATGTTTTTGTTTATAGTGCGTAGGATGGCGCCAAATGTCTGATCCTATAAATTCGGTTTAAAATCTAGCAAGTATTGTTACACCTCACCTCATTTGTAATTTATAAAAATAGGTAATGAGCGCTACATTCAACTAATCGAAGTTTATAAGCCAGTCTCCAGTCTTAATAGACTGGGAGTAATTCTGTTTCGAAAAACCCGGCCTCTAAAATCTCTCACCATAGTTTGAATTTTATCGTAATCGATTTCCAAGTTAGTCTGCAGAAACATCACGATCTCCTGATGTTTCAATCACTGCCATTCATATAATCGTTACTATTTCTTTTCCCACGAAAGTTTGAAGTTTGCAGCCGGGTAAGTGGCTGACTTACTGCTTTGTAATTAATCATAAGACTGAACTTCCCTGTTGCTTACCTAGTAAAGTATCGAGTGACAATAATGAAAGCTGTCAGAGTGACACTGAATGTGTAGGCCGATTTGAGGCAAAGATAGATCACCAACACAAAAACCCGTCTCCAATAGGTTAATGGTGTAACTTTATCCGGTGGTCTGAAAGTGAAAATAGCCGCAGATGTCGTAGCATTTGGATCAGACGTCTGAGCAGGCGTACAGCCAATCCAGTAATGTGACGGGTCTTCAAGTAAAACTCCGCGTGAATTATGGCAGTAAAATGATATGGTCACAAAAAAGTGTTAAATCCACGTACCAGGTTGAGTGATGTGACCCAAGACATGAATAATGAAGAGAAATAGAAGAAATAGAATCAGCACATAGACAACTTCGGCAGGAGGTCCGATTGGAAGAATTCGATTAATCGACGAGGAGCTTTGCGCAGTAGATGGGGGTGACAAGGCGCGCTTCGTGAGGCGACTTGACGATTCTCTGAGTTGACGAGCTGCTAAACTTGGAACGAGAGCCGCTAATGAGGACAAAACACCTGCCAAAGAGATGAGAAATTATAGAAGTTCTTGAAGAGGTTAATCAGTTCTTTCTATTTCACTTTAATACGAGGAAATGGTCACCTCCTCAGGGGATACAGAGCTGTAAAAGCTAACATTTTCTTATTTAATCTCATTTTCTCAGATAATTCTATTATTGCTAACCAGGTTCTCCTTCTCTTCAAATTATGTAGTTGATAGGAGTTTGGCGTTAAGTTAAAATCCAAAAAATCGATTGGAAATTACCAAAAGCACTTGTTTGATAAACAGTATTAGAAATTCTTTTTGCGAATACAAGCAAAGGAGTGTTAGAATTTCTAGGAACGCGGTAGAGAAGGACCAATGAAAAGACAATGAATCAAAAATCGATATACGTTTAGACCAATCAAAATTGATAGTGGGAAAAAAACCCAAAGCAACTATTTTATTTGCGAAATAAAATCGAAACTCAGTTAACTCACTGTTCGAGGAGACAGTATACATTCTTCTCTGTTGCATTTCTGCAGGGGGTTGAATCGCCCTTCTAACTCGAATGTCCAGTCGATTTTTAGCATCCAGGATAATCAACCTAAATGACTTCTCATAATCCGGCTCTTCATTCGGTGCTGGAATGAGAATTCTCAGTTCAAATTTATTCTCTTCAAAGACTCCAACTTCGTAATCCAAGAGTGGGTCACCATCAGGCAATTTCTCGAATTCTTCAATTTCTTCCATACCGTTTTCAGAGCCAAAACCACCATTACTACTACCACTTCCACCGGTTTCTTCAGGGTAAACTTTCAGCCGAAATAGGCCAGGAAAGTGGGAAACTTGACCTGCAAGGTCAATGACCCAGAAACTGTTGTGTTGTTGCTGCAACTGGGGCTGAGTATGGACCTGTGTAATCGGAGTAGAGACATCTTCGTTGAGACCATAGTTCAGATCGAGGGCAAGACTGGCTCGAAGTGAATGTCCACGCTCGACTGAAGCGGGTTCGAAGATACTTCCGAGGAAGGAGGAATCTTTGGAGAGACTAAAGTTGAGCTGAAATAAAAAGATAAAGAATTCATATTTCCTTTTAAACTAGGAATGTCCACTAGGACCTATGTAAACAAGACAAGTTGCGTCCCACCCATCCTCACTTGAATGATTTCAGGTCGTCTTTAAATAGACACATTGTTTTGCCCTTTTAGGACAAGATGTTAACACTTCTCAAACTGGCAGTAACCCATTATCAATAAATCCCCACCCCCACACAGTCTTCATCGACTATCCAAAATCTAAATCGGGCGAGGAAAGCGTACCTTTCAAAAGCGATCATAAAGTTGCTGAAAAATCTTAAATCTTGAAAGCAGTACTGAAACAGAAAAGAGACTTACCAATAATAAACATGTGACTTGATTTTATTTGAAAAGCTAGCCAATAAATTTGTATTACTACCAATTAGAGAGCAGAAAATTGGGAGTAAAACTCACTTTTGGCTTTATTCGGACGTGCGAAATTGAGTAAAGGTAAGGCGCTCTATAATTAACCTAAAAATAGGCGAAAAAAGAAAAAAAAGAGATAAAATTAGATTCACAATTTCTTGCATTTGCTACGTTGACCACTTTTGATAGTCACTCACTTGAACATCCGTCATGCCAATATACGGTGCCAAAGCCGGTGTGTAGATATTCAACTTCTCAACCAAATGATCCGCCGACGCGCACGGAGCAGCAGACAACCTTCTCCAGAGATCTGTGTTCACTTCAAATGGCTTGGAAGGCCATACGAGAAGGCTAGGTGTGCTAGGACCATTAACTGGATCATTTGAAGACCCTCCAAAGGGTGGAAGGAAGGGATAACTTGAAGAGGAATCCGAATACCCACTACTGCCACCTCTTGCACCACCTCCATAGTTATTTGTCAATGTGTTTTGTAGAAGTGGAATAGTCTGGTGGGGATAAAAGTCAAGTATGCAATTTTCATTCAGTGGGTAGAAACTAATCGTGAAATTAGAAGTCACCTGAGTGCTCCAGTAATAAGCTGCCTGTGTGTTGGCTGACCCACTAATGATATCCGGAATGTGCGACAAACCGAGAGTGTAGTCTACGTTTAGAAGACCTCGGAAGAGCTGATTTAATGTCCCATCAGGTAGGCGTTTCACAACATTATCTAAAATAAGCATACACTAGAAGTCAAAGTGCATCAGTTATCATCGAAAGTATACGGACGTACTTATTAGTTCATAATTTTATCCAATTACTTCATAATCATTTTACCTTCTTCCAAATGAACGTAGGTGTGTGCACTTGAAATCCAATCACTTGTAGTCCAGGTGTTATAAATGGTCATCACGGGGCACATGATGACCTCCCCCCCCCTCTTCTGAAAATGGCATAACCAACTGCTCAATCTAACCCACTAGTCAGTCAATCGTGAACATCTCAACATAGATTTGAACCGAAGCATTTCGGATATCAGATGAAGCAGAGCTTTCTTGAATCCCACTTGCGCTAAATACATTGAAATTCCATATTTCGAATGTAAATATTCCTCCTCTTTAAGAAATTTCACATCCAATGCATATTGAATTTTCAACCTGATGGGAAATAAATGGACTCAAACCTTCCGCTATTTAGACTAAGGTTTCTACATTCCCATTAGCAGTAAATGTGGACATTCATGATGACATTCAAATACGGGAGCAACATATAGGATGGCGCATATTTAACCTTGCATGTCACTGACCAAACGGAACCTTCAAGGGATCACAGAGTGTTCAAATAGACAGACAATTGCAGGTTTACGTGATTGCAATAGAACTTGTGGAGTGATCTATTGGTGCCATTCCGACAACCCAAGAAACAGGAAAGAAATTGGCCAAGGTTGATTCAATAGGATAGATTAAAGGATGATCTATAGAGAGGCTGTGTGAGATTCCATCAAGATGGAGCCTAAGTCAATTGGACAATGAAAGCATAGAGTCCATTCATTTTCTTCATCAAAATTCTCTTTGTATTTATAAATAAAGCAGAATCGGAATTAAGTTCAAATTCTCAGTCGAAATCGTCATGCGTTTTATAAATCCAAGCCTAATAAAAAAGTTTTGACAATAACAGTATTCTAGTATACTCAACTATTTATTGACTTCAGTTAACCTTCCATCTCCATAGTAAGGCACGAGTTCGTTAACAACATTTGCAATTTGCTACGTGGAATTATCAAGTCTTGGAAGTGAGGACAGTTTCCATTTACCAAAAGCATTTGGTAAGAGAAAATGTCTATTTTTCGCAAATTTGATTATGCGAATAATGATACCTGTTGAGGTTGCAGCTGGCTGGCTACCACCGCTCCACATTGACTCGCCTTGGGGTCCACTTATTGGCTGATTCAAGGACAAACTTGCGGAGAAGGTTTGTTTGGTTGGTGGATGTCCGTTATGCAGCAGTGACCATCTAAGCCGATAGATGGGGCGGCTTGGAGATGGCTGGACATGACAAATGAAAGGATTTTCCTTTGGCCATTCCGGGGTAAGCTTAAAGTCCAGTCTTGTTCCTGATTCGAAAGAAAGATTAAGTGGAGATGAAAGTAAAGAAACATCGGTCAGTTTGAGTAAGATAACTTACCCCGACTACACAACCGCATCAAACATCGATGGGCCGAGTACTTTCCACAAATATAAGTGCAGTTGTCCTTTGCACAACAGTCAAAGCACATTTCCAAACGATCAGATCGTCCATTGTCCGCTGGTCCGGCGGTTGGCTTACAGGAGAGAGAACTGCTCTTGATCTCTTCTGCGCATCTCACTAGACAAGCGCGACAGGCTTCTTTCAACTGCGCGCATCTAAAATGAAACATCATAGCTACTTGATTTGGTTAAGTAGAATTGTAAGTTAAGAATTTACAAGTTGCTTTACTGAATCTTTTCTTCATAGAATGCCGTCTGTGGTGCAGCCAGCTCATCATTCCATTCAGTTCCAAAGACAGCGGGAAGCTTAGAGGGCTCTAAACAGGAGATACTTGGTGCCTCTGCCAAGGACTTGCCACTATGAGTAGCGTACACGTAGGCGTCATCAGCAGCGACAGTGGGATAGAAACCACCCCTCAGAGGCCTAAAATCGGCCTGACTTAAATCATCGCTAAATCCATTCGCAAATGCAGCTGCATCTCCATAGAAGTCTCCCCTACGATCCTCCGAACTTATAGGATTCGAGCCTACAGGTGGAAAGTTACCATGCTGTTCATAGGTAGTACATCTTGAAAGAATCGGTCGATAGCCGGGAAGACTTTGATCGGGATCGGTAGCTGTAGTAACATTCTAAAAGAATCGGAAAGTTAAAAGATTGAACCACACTTCTGGAAACGGCAATAAACAGCATAGTGCCTCACTCTGTGAACAAGCATGGTGAGATGGTAGACAGGTGGTATTGGATAGGGACAAAGGCGTGAGAGCGTTTCGTTAGCCCGATGCCAATTTTCGTTATACCCTACTTGTCCATTTGGCATAGAAGCGTCGACATTGCTTCCACCGAACCACTGTCGACTGTAGAGATCTTCTGAGGAACTAGCACCCTCTTGAACAGAGGCCAAGAAGTGATCATTGTCATTGCTCGATGAATGATTCACGGGTTGAAGGATGGGTTCAAGTTGAACAGTCTCAAATTCAAGTTGAACCTGAAAGAGCAAAAAAATGATTTGGAGTGAAGAAAGACTTTTCCAAATTTTTGAGAATGACCTTGTCGTCTCGATTGGCTAAATGCCTGCTGAAGATTCCATTTTATTAGTTTGAAGTTCATGGAGAACACAATTTGAAGAAATGCACTTTAAGTGAGAGCAAGACTAACTTGATATCCCGAGCCACGATTAAGTACAATAGTTCGATTGACTGGAAGTCGTCTCAATGTTTCCGCCGTAAGAATAAACGACACATCCTTGACCTTCCGTTGGTCCTCAAACCAAACCCGACGTTTGTGAGGAATCACTAAATCGGGAATTATATCCTTTCCTAAAATGAAACAAAAAAAGTGAAAAAACAAGCCATTCATCAATTTTAACCGTCACCTAGTTTGAGAACTACGAAAACCCACTTCTACATTCACGATTGCTTGAGCCTTTGCATGGAGTGAATTCAAATTCCTCCGAAATGCACAGCGGTCTACACGCTAGTAAAATGCGAATAAAAGATAATCTTCAAAACACTTCAATGAGAGTTAACGGTAAATGGGATGCATTAACGCACCTCTACAAACTAGATCACTGTGTGGTGTGCAAGGCCGAGCAATATACATTCCAGGAGGACAGCCATCAGAACAACCTAAAATCGTCAAGTGAATGGAAAAGCTCAAAAACTTACGTTTACATTCCAATGGTTGTCCACGCGAACAGTTCCCATAAAGCCAATATCCAGTGGGGCATTTCGTGTCACATGCTAAAATTGGATTTTACTTATTAAACATCAGTAGTAATAGGCGCAAGCAAAAGGATGTGTGTATTTTTTTTGAAAACCCATGATCGCTTAAAAAACAAAAACTAGATGACATTAAAGTTGAATGATATATATTTACTTGTCAGCTACTCGCACAATTTGCACCAGTCAGGCTCTAGTAAACAAATATTCTGCGTTTATCTGGATATAAACATGGTTGAAGCGTCTGGATTCGCATTCGGAAAATGGCTGTTCTCGCATTGCTTTCAACTCTCATCTTACTCTCAGCTGCACAGTAAGTAGGCTGCTCCTTGTAGTAATTTCTTTGTCTAAAAGAAGCCCAGTAGTCAATCCTCCTTCAGAGACTAAACCATCGTGAGTTAGAATTTGACGCTTTAATTACCCAATCCTCCCTAGAACGGTAGGGCTTCCGATACCTTGTTTTAGATGACACACTTTATTGAAAAGAAAGATTTTTGGGAAACTTTAAAAAATCATGTGAGAGAAATTGCCAATGGAATGGAAAAATTTATGGAAGACGATAAATTGGGAACAGATGTGCTGGAGACTGGGAAGAGACTTCTCAACACAACAAAAATGAGTAAATATATATATTGCCTTTCATTTTGAAGTTAAAATTTTTTTGTGTTATTATTTATTTGTTTCCTTCGCAGTCGTGGAACGAACTGAGATTCGGCTTGGACAACTAATTAAGCGCTTCTTACACAAGGCTGAAGCCGAGGAACAATATCTTCGCAATATTAAAAAGCCATGATCACATTAACTTTTTTCGTCTAAATATAAATAGATAAATAAATATATAAATAAATATTAAGTGATTCCAATTATTTGTGTTTTTTTTAATGGATACTGTGTGTGTGTGTATGAGCAATTTTTGCAAATTTCAAGGCAAATGAGTAAATAGAGAGCGATTTCAATTACAAAATGGCGCTACTCGATTATGAATGAATGAATGCAATTGAATTATTCAATAAATAAGTAAATTAAAATTTAACTTATCTCTCTCTCTCTCTTATAAGTATTAATTGGCATAGAAGAAATTGTTAATAGGATAAGCGAATCATGAATACGAGCTTAGTCCGACACTTAGATCTTAGTTTTTACAAGTTGAAATAGGAATAATCTGCTCCAAATAAAATAAAAATAATTGATTAATTAATAATAAAGCAAAGCATATATTGAGTACTGAGTTTTGTTCTGCTGATGAAAACTGTTTTATCTTGTTTGGGGCAGTTGAAGTGTACATTTCCTAACTGAGCTATAACTTTGAACGTAGAATTAGCACATTCACTCTCATTTTTTTTCTAAAAATAAGAATTAAAATAAATATTCAGGCATATATAACATTCCTCCCATGGAGGCCAGCATCACCCCCTACAAAATTGGTGTCAAATTGTATTGAAAAATAAACGATAAAAGGAATAACTAAGGGTACAGAAGACCTAAGCATCGCTGAAGTTATGCAGGCACTTTGGTTCTAAGATAAAGCCCCCCCCCCCGCGATTTGTCTTTCCCTTTCGCATAACTTGAAGAGTCATCCAAGCACAGAAGGGTTAACAATATTTGGAAACCTCTTTGTGGTGTTAGAATGCTTTCTGTGGAAAAAAACGTTGTTCATAATCAATGGTCTGTCGTTGTTTACAATTAGGTGAAAGCACACCGTAAATGGCAGAGAAATTTGGGCTCTATGTTAGATTGAAGTTAAGGGATTGTGAAGATGTTTAGCATTCTTCTTGGTTTAAAATGGAGGCAAAGGGAGTATTATAAAATTCTAACCGAGAATAGTACTCGCTAGAGTTGAACCGGCGACTAAGCACAGTTGGATGTGTGATTCGTCAAATACAAGATAAACATAATTTCACTGAGAGAACCGAAGTTTCATAAGTCATAAACTTGCGTTAATCATTCGGCACAATCATTTCTGTTCTCGGACATCAACTTAACAATGCGAAAATTCAAATGCAATTTGAGAACTGATCAGAGAAAAGCGCGTCAAAAGCAAGAACTGAATCATCTACGATTCAAGCAATGGAAGAGGAAATAATATTGAGGCAGTAGATTATCAAAGAACACAAAAAAACTGAGTTTGCTTGAGAGCAACGTTTTGAGTTAGGGGCAGTTGAAGAAGGTGAAATACTGAAAGTTCTTTCCAGTACTTATCTACTTCTAGCGTTCAAAGGCTATATACAAGCAGAAAGGAATCGCTTGACTATTTATAAATTTAATTCGAGCCAAGAGGATAAGCGATTGCAATTCAAAATGACCACTTCAAAGTTATTTCATTAGAATTTTAATGCAAAAATATAACTCAAATTCTACTGAATAGATTTAAGCAGTATTAACGTAGAAATGAAATTAATAAAAAAATGTACACATTATTGACAAGTGCACTCAAATTCAATTCATCATTCAATAATCTTTTGAGCCATGGATACATTTTTTGCAATTATCCTCTAAAATATCTCACATCGCTTAGTTCAATCATACTGTCGCCTCAACGGAAACATTGGCCTTTCAAATATCATTCCAATCATTTACAGTAATTGATAAATATTTAGATTTTACTGCATCAAGTGAATTTATTAAATTTAATCGCACTCAAAGCATAAACATGTCGTTATTTGCATTTCCTTACCTTCAGAACGCCCTCCAGACAGTTTATTAATCAACATCGCCATAGAGGGAATTAGATCTCTCTTGAATTCTTTCACCTATGGTAAACCCCGAATAGCTTAAAGTATCAGAATCATTCTGTTTGGCACATAGCACATAGTAAAACGGCTATTCTACCACTGTTTCCGATTCCAGCATTTTACCTAAAACGAAAGTAGATTGTTTTTCCTGTTTCCACCTTCTTGCCAAATTCTCATTAGATTTAAATTATTACAACGTGGAAGAGTGGTATCGTTGTTTGAATCTCTAAACTACACATAAACAAATCAAAGTAGGAAATGAAGCAAAAAAATTGCTATAAAATAAAGATTCCGATGAAATAGGAATAACGAGAATGATTAAACAAAGTAAACGAAAATATTTTTATCCGAGTCTTAGGACTCATATACCAGCCCCCCCCCCCCTCCTCAAATTTTACCATCTCCCACTTTTGAAGAGATGCACAAATTTACTTAGATGCCACTTCTAATACAAAAAAACACAAAAAAGATTGAGCACTTTTATCACCAATTTATGCCTCTTTCAATAAGGTAAGATTGTATTTCATTTTGGCGTGATAAAATACTAGGCCATAGATTGTAAAAAACAACAAGGCTAACAAAGGCACTCTATTTTGGGCGAAAAATCTAGCCTTAAGCAATGCAAGCACCAATTAAGACGCGATCAATGGATAGGTTCATCAGAGTCTTTGCAGGAGCACTTGTGGTTGGCACAGAGACAATCGATTCCCCTTAGATGTGCGACTTCGACGGGACGGCTTCCACCACCACCCCTTTCTGGATTGAATCCAGATTCACCAACACCTTGAGAATCTTCAGGCCTTGGATGCGACTCAATTCTAGCACTAGTTTTATCCTCTTTGCAATCTCTATTATCTCCCATATTATCGAGGCAACCGCTATCTTCCTCTGCAGATTCTCCAGACTCAAAATTGTCATAGTTGTTAGGGTACCTATCACCACTTTCTCTAGAATCGGGGCAATTTGAATCATCACATTCAGAGTCATGGTCAACGTCATTTTCGGACTCCCCGCTACCATTGTAGAAATCTTCGCTTTCGTCATCATCACCCCTGCCTGGATACGTTCCTCTCTCAGAATAGTTAAAGTCGTTATCATAATCTGTGTTATCATATCCTCCGTATGAATCTGAATCAGGGTATCTTGATTGCATTGTCATTGCGGAGTTCATATCTTCTCCACCGTGATAATCATGTTCTTTTGGTTGGATCTCAAATGTTGGGCATTCATCCAGAGATAACCCGGAAGAAATACACTCCACCAAATTATCCAAGATTGCATCGATTTGCAAATATAATTGCTCCTTCACTGCTTCAACATCTACTTTCCAAATAAGTAGAAAATAAATGTTCACCTACCGCTATCATCGAGACAGCTTTTCAAACGAGTCATAATGTATTCCCCAAAGTCATCTTGCGAAGGGATTGGCTAGAAGATGCGAAAGTTTGCAAAACATCTCGTTAGCTACTAAGTTAATTTAATTGGATTTGAAAACTACTCTTATTCCGCGATTAATGGAGAAAGTGTGGAGGGAAATTAATCAAGATGGTAGAAAAGCTAGCATGAAAGAGACTTCCTACCTTTGGAGAACCAGGAGAAAAAAGACTGAGAAGAGGAAAAAGAAGTGATAACGGAATGAGGAGCGGCACCCTCATTTCGGGCTTCAAATGAGAGAAAAAGTGCAAATTTGAAGCCTTTATATATAAGGTGGGTAGGGTGACATACGTTTGCCTTCGATGTTAGGTGAATAGCTTTCGCATTTGTTGGGTCAATGTGTGCACGGACACGGAAACGATGGTACACAATAATAATAATGCCCCGCGATTAGATTAGATCAAATTAGATTAAATATTTGTAAGCAAATGGTCGTGTTTTAAACGACTTTATTAATAGCACAGAAAAGGGCACTGATGTGGCCGATTGTATTGTGATCAAGGACAGTTGAAAATAGACAATCGAGTAAGCAAGGTTTAATTCGTAAACATTTCGTTAATAGCAAAGGTGAACACATTCAAATTGGACAATATTTGTGGCTTTCGGCTAGCATCATAAACATTTCATAATCGTCCTATTTCTTCAAAATTATTTCAAATGGAGAGATTTTATTTTACAAAAAAATTTCTACAAGTTAGAAATGATAACAAGTGATGACCATAAAGTAAAAATTCAATATGATTGTTGGAGCGTGAATGAAGGCCATTCGAGTGAATTGCATAAAAATAGGTTTAGTTAAATCGTTTTAACATGAAATGATTTTAATGTAGCAAATGCTTTGTTTTAACGGCATGTAGTCTCCCCATTTGATGAAATCGTGATTGCAGGATATCGACTGACGCTATTTTCGTGCTTCTCAATACATTTTGATTGCATACTCGATCACACATAGTGACGCAAATAAGGAATCTATCTTAACCCAGCACTTTGCATTGCTTTTAGTCTCGTTTTTTGATATCATTCTTGTCTCTCTCGCCTTCACTATCTTATTCATTCGATTTTTTAATTGTGGGGTGTGAGATAGACTTACCTCCACGTGGTGCACCCTGGGCAACGTATATTCATACGGCGAAAAAAAGTCTATTAACCGGCAACTGGCTTCTGACCTCTAACTAACATGACCCCACTGTATGTCATTTTCGTCTACTTTCACAGTCCCCATCTTAACTTTTCTCTACATTTGTATCTGTCTGTTTCTTTTATATCTGTGAATCAATCTTCTGTCCCCCCCCCCCTCTCGGCTTTTTCACTTTGATGTTCCTCCCCCTCGGTGAAGCCAAAAGTCAACTAAAAGGCTAATGATAACTATCAAAACGCCTGCCATTTAATATAAATGAAATAAATTTTTATTGTTGGATTTCATCACTGCATTTGTATATATCCTCGACTCGGCATTCTTGATCTGCTGTTTGTGGTAGACTTAATCGTACACTTTTACCCCAAAATTCTCATCACAAATCACTATCTGCTCTTATTAAGATAAAAATTGTAATACAAATATCCTAAAAATTTTAGTGCTAAGATGGGGATAAGGAAACTTGTAATTACTCATATACTAGAATCTCGAACACCCTCTCTTTTCAAATGCCTCTTGATATTGATCGATATCTGTGATCAAAAATGGCAAATCCTATTACCTCGATGTGGATACTAGGACGAAACCGCTTCTTAAATCAATTACGGCCTTACAACAAAGGTATATGATAAAATGTTACTGACAGACACGATGTCAACAATAAACGGTCGGAGTCTTGACAACACGTCTTCGGTTTTCAATATGTAGACAGAGATCAGCACCTCTAATAGCCAATTAAACGAAAAAACTCCATATTGGACAAATATCCAATCATTAATAACGTAATGGAAAAGGGAGATTTGTCTGTTGCTCGAAATATCAACGGAATATATATAGAAAAAAACTCGTAAATAAAATTTTAATGAGAATTTATAGATCAACGAGACGGCAAAATGGCGTGCAAATATCTCATTAGAAGAAATCCTAATGGATGGAATGCCTTGAAGTGAGTTCATTTTTCCTTCTTAAACAAATATGGTTCAAACCTCTTGCTTGTAATATTTATGCAGAATTAAACGTAGTATTCAAGCAGACTAAGACAATTCCTCACGTTAACGTCCAAATGAAACTTATTTTCATTTTCATAAAATAATCCCTGTAGCATCAATTGGACAGTACGGCCCTCTTTCGAAATCAGATCCATTGGCACTAGATTGGTAACGGATGGTGCTATTGGCGTTTGGAGCACATTCACTACATGTCTTTAGCCTTCACCTGATACACCACCAAAACTCAACACGTCGGTGGCATCAGTCTGCTATGAGACACGCGTGAGTGCAGTTGGGTGCATTTTTCAAAAAAAATAATTCGAGCGTTAAATTGTTAGTTGGAAATAATAGAAGGGCTCCATTATTATTATTATTATCAAAGATCATTTGCCAGAAATTCGATAAAAGTTGGAGAAAGTCCATTTTTAGCCGTGCAAAATTAAGAAATACCAAATCTATTAATAACACAGCTCTAAGAGAGAAACGAATTTCGACAAGCGAGCATTAATTTTGAAATCAAATTAAAGCACCGTGATCTAATCGCTCCGTCATGAATTGTCTAAGGTAGATTTTTAAAACACCTCCATAAACGAATTAACAGAAATCTACGTCTTAAATGAATATGAGAATCAACAATAAAAGAACTGGCTATAAAATTCTAACCAGTTGTTCAGGCTTAAACTTTGAGCAAACTTTCCACATCAAGAATGAAAAAAATAGGAATAAAGGAAAGATACTAATCTTTTCTTTTATTTTAAAAACAGGCACAAATTTATTTCCTATGAAAAGAATTCGTTCCCAGCTGATTTTCAAAGTCTACTGCAATTTTTAAAAGGCCATCTCAAGCAAAAACAATCCATGTACTATAAGCCATTAGCAAATCTTCGATTAGGACAAACAATTCCACGTAAATAGTGAGTTCAACAGGTCAAATGAAACGCTATAAATTTGGCCACAACCAAATTTGCCTCGAGATACCCCATTGCAACATGAAGAGGCTTATTGTAATTCTGATAATACAATCATTGGTAAGACCACTTATTTAGTACATTGTACGAACTTCTAGATCACAGTAAATGTCACAGAAGCATGCGGTAGCCAACAAAATGATAGGGATGGTCCACATCACCCAGGAGGAGGAAGAGGTCCTGGCGGCCCCCATAATTCTGGAGGCCATGGTCGTCCTCCATATGGCGGCGAAGGAAGTCATAACGCGGTTGGAGGTCATGGACATTCAGGACATCGCCCAGAACATGGCAACCATAATAATAATGGCCATCGTCCAGAACATGGAGGTTGGGATAATCCAAGGGATCATCATGGCCATGGAAACCGCTATGGACACTTTTCTTCAGACCCGAGACAGAATTACAATGAAAGGGTAAGAAGAGCCAGACACCCTAATGAACCATCAAATGGTGCATACTATGATCAGTCAATGAATGGAATGATGCACCACAATTACATGAGTTACGGTGATAATGAGTATTCGCAAACACCAGAGCACGCATATTCTAATTATCCCAATGAGTATGAAGATTATGAAAGTCGACACCAGATGCAGGCTTATTCCCACGAACAAAGCTACGCATCAAGGGAAACGGGAGAATATTCCTACGGGCGATCAGAGCCAACACCTTACAATAGCCAAATGCATTATCAGAATGGAGATCCGGGGCAGATGGGCAATTATGGAGGCGAAAATAATGCCTACGGCGAACCGAACGTATTCGTTGATCCCCAAGTACCAGAGGAAAGGAGCAATCCCCAGAACGCGGGAATGGATCCTCTTTCAGCCTATCAGGCTGAAATTGCCAGACTTACCAGACTGAATGAAGAAAGAATGCGGAAATACGAGGAAGAGAAGGCAAAGTACTACAGAGAACACGCGAAATAGAAGGATTTGGAGTGATGTAAGGCTACAGGCAGTATTCACAAGAAGCTTAAATAGAACGTCTTATGGAAAACTTTCTTTTCTTTTTTTTTTCTCCGGATAAAGTAAGAGAGTAAACAGATCGGGTGACCCAATATTAGGGGGGTATAAAAGAACACGAAATTTTCTTAAATTAACGCTGTAAATTCTGTAACCGAGGTTTGAAATAAAATATTAGTTAGAAACAATAATATAGTGAAAACGGGGTGACTTCTGACTTCCAACTACCATGACCCCACTGAATGTCATATTCGACTCCTTCCATAGTGCTCGTCTTGCCTTTTTTCTGCATTTTTGTCTGTCTGTCTGTCTGTCTCTTTTACATCTGTGCATCACTCTTCTGTTCCCCACTCCTCGACTTTCTGTTACCTTGATCTTCCTTGCCTCTGTGAAGCCCGAAGTCAACTAAAGGGCTAATGATAACTATCAAAACTCCTGCCATTTAAAATAAATGAATATATTTTTGGAACCAAATAACCGCCCATGGGCAATAATACAGAAGCAATATAATTCGCCTAAAAAATAAAATATTTACATATGCTTTCGGAATGACTCATCGCGTGTAGGGAGAGTCTAGCTTCAGTCCAAAGTAGGGAAAAGTTGGAAGACTGCCTTTTAACTTTCAGCCCCAAATAACCGCTCATCCGAATAATGTCCCGCGGGCAAACTTTCGGAAAAGCCCGCTATATATATTGGGTTGGCAACTAAGACATTGCTGTTTTTGTTGACAGATTCACTCTATACTTTCTTTTGTTTTGTTAACGTAGCCAGAGCATCTAACCTATATTTTTTCTTACTGTATGGGCTTCTAGGTTAATTAGTAAAAAAATTTTTTTTTGTTTAGTTCTTTAGTTTTGTTTTTATCCCAATTTAAAAATGCAAGAACAGGACGTGCACTTCCGGCACATTTTATTGTATTACTTCCGAAAAGGAAGAACGTATCGCAAGCACAAAAGAAGTTATGTGTCGTATATGGAGATGAAGCCTTAAAAGATAGGCAGTGTCAAAATTGGTTTGAAAGATTTCGTTCCGGTGATTTTTCACTGAAAAATTCACAACGATCTGGCCGCCCAGTCGAAGTGGATGAAACCCATATCAAGGCCATTATCGATTCAAATCGTCACAGCACAACACGAGGTGATATTGCAGAGAAGCTCAATGTGTCGCATACATGCATTGAAAAAAATTAAAAACCCTTGGTTATGTCAAGAAACTTGATTTATGGATCCCTCACCAGCAGTTAAAGGAAATTCATTTGACGCAACGGATTAGCATCTGTGATTCGCTACTGAAATGCAATGAGAATGATCCATTTCTGAAGAACCTAGTTACTGGTGACGAAAAGTGGATAGTTTATAACAATTTTACTCGCAAGAGATCATGGGTGAAGCAAGATCAACCAGCCCAAACAGTATCAAAAGCAGAGATTCACCGAAAAGAGATTATGCTGTCAGTCTGGTGGGATCACAAAGGAATTTTGTATTTTGAACTCATGCCGCAGAACCAAACGATAAATTCAAACGTGTATGTTGAACAACTGGAAAAACTGAAGGATGCAATTGAAGATAAACGGCCGGCATTATCAAATCGGAAGGGTGTTGTTTTCCATCATGATAACGCAAGGCCCCACACATCTTTGGTTACTCGGCAAAAATTATTGGAACTGGGTTGGGATGTTTTGTCACACCCACCATATAGCCCTGACCTTGCGCCTTCGGATTACAAATCGTTTCGTTTCACACAAAACTCTTTAGATGGTAAAATTTTTAACAACGCGGATGATGTCGGATCACACCTAATTCAGTTTTTTAATAGCAAAGACCAGACATTTTACGAAGGGGGAATTTTTACTCTGCCAGAACGATGGAAAAAGGTCATCGACAAGAACGGCGAATATCTAATTGAATAAAGTTATATTTTTAAACAAAAATTCCGAATTCGCCTTCTTATTTGAAATCGGCAATGACTTAGTTGCCAACCTAATATATGTCGCCCAAATAAAAACGTAAGTCCACAAGTAATAGGAGGAGAGCAGATAAATCACCTAAACAGCCGACAAGGCGACCAAGATACATCACAAATATCACATACTAACAAAGTACAATTCGATAGATGTTAAACACAAATGCATAAACAGGGTGACGAACTTAGGATAATCTCGCGAAATATAGTCAAATCTGTTTAAAATTAAGTTGAGAAAGAACTGCTGTATTGTTACAGTAAGCTATTTTCCTTGATGTACAGTTTTCGTTTTTTTTTCTATCGAGAAGTAGTGATATATACATTCTATTAGGTAATAATTAGTTAAAGTTAAATAGACTGCCTTAGTTAAAGAGGCAAATGCATATTTCTATACAACGATCCCCAAACCCGAATGCTCAAATTCGTAGGTCGGGATAAAGGGGGAACAAATCTTTAATAGTCGAGCGCAAAGAGCTGCAGTGTCACCCCTCCCCCAACCCCCTCCAATATGCATTGAATAAACGACGCTGAGGATTTGAAAAAGAAATGTGAGGGTGAGGGATGTGGGAGAAAGAGAGACGGGGGTGAGCGTAGGAGTAGATCAATGCTAAATGAGAGTCTGCGAGTGAAAATACGAGATCAAATAGTACGCAGCCAGTTGGCAAGGTAACAGCTATGGGTAAAGTGAAAATTCGTATACAAGTATAGATTTGATAAATAGGGGTTCAAGTCTAGGATCATGAATTCAAAAAATTAAATTATCACCACACAGAGAATATGAGTGAAGAGTAATTTTGGGGGAAAATGTATGATCTTCCTTCGACTCTACACTTCTATTTAAGCGAAACATTTATCAATTCTGGGTCCTGAGTCCCAGAGATCACTGCGTTCACATGGTAACTCGACAGCAAATCGAATCTTCTGCAAATTTGAAAACTATGCGGTTAGAGACCATTAAGAAAGAAAAGGCATTTCATCATTGTGGTAATAATTATAGAAACAAAAAATAAAACTGAAAAATGAACAAGAAAATCATAGGCTGGGAAGCCATTTGAGCAGATGGACAAAACAGGATGGAAAAAAGGTGACGGAAAAGTTTCTCAACACCCCGATTGAACCTGATGGCAATAAATACGCAAAAATAGAATAGAATAGCATTTAGCAAAATAATAAACTACTTTAATACTTAACAAGATTTGATAAGCTCTTCTGAGCAAACACAAGGAACCCATTATACGATTTGAATTTGAGAGTCAGCGAAATACTACAAATACATTGATTATTAAATTGATTCCTATAACTGGGATTTTGCTTGATTTGAATACGAAAATGACTTGAGATGATTTTCAGCAGGACATGCACCTTTTCATTTGGTGAAAAAATTTAAGTTGTTTGAAGTGAATAACTCACGAAGACATGTGCGACCAGATGGGCAGAGACATTGATGATCACCGGGTCGATTTGTACAAACGCCTCCGCGTTGGGTACATTCTGCGCGGATGGAAGCGTCTTCACATTCGTCGACGTCCAGACAAATTCTACCCTGACCTTTTATTGCGTCTGCTGAACCTCCACCTGCAGATGGGCAAACGGAAAACATTAGAGTTCATTTTTTCCCTTCAAAAGATCGAGTGTCAACAAACAGTAGAGAAACAAGGAAATTGCCTCTTGTATAACACTGGTAGTAAAAATAGACATATTCCATTAGAAAATATAGCCAAACCAATCGAAGATAAAGCAGGTAAATAATGCATTTTCAAATTTCGCTTTTAGTAAAGTTGAGTTGATAGAGCCAAGAAATATGTTTTTCGATATGTTAAATTAGATTTTTTGGGCAAATGGCTAGTGAACTTATTCAACTCTCAGTCCTGAACCAACGAACTCTCGAATCTAAAAATGCAAGTCATTCCAATTTCCTCATGTTCACTTACCAAAGCCAGTAAGACGATTCCTATCTTCTGGACCGGCTGGCCTGAAGCCTCTTTGGCAAATGCAAGCGTGGCCTGCGCCCGGATCACAAGAATGGTCACAGACATATCGCTGACGACAGCTTCTTGTGCTTTGGATCCATCTTGCATCCACGGCGTCTAGTAGGAAGGAAGGAAAGAAAGTAACTCAAAAAAATTTGTTCTATTAGCACGTGCAAATAGTTGTGGTATTTACCATAAATTTCCACAGCAGAACGGTGAATGCCGGGTCCAAGATGAACTTCGGTTCTACTCGTTCTATTTAACCATAGCTGAATGGATTTCGGAGGCTTCCTTTCCAGGATACTATTACCAGGGGAATTTGTGGTCACAGTGTGTTTACTCTCCGCCTCTCCCAGGATAAAGTAATTTGGTAGCCAGATGGTAATTTTTAACTTCGGAGTGCCAAATGCTGCTCTAGCACCAAACATTCCTGTTGTATTTCCATCAATGGATGGCGTTGGAAAGCGGATAACATTCATGCTCTGGATCCCAATGTCATTGTCAAAGCTGCCATCAGGAGACTTATTTGCCATGGCAACAGTGATAATGCAGGAAATGGCCACGATATTCAAAACAGTAAAGCGAATCCTAAAAAGGACAATGTGGCTTAAATGCAATTTTAAGGCTCACCTTCAAAATCCAAAAATCTTCTTAGAAAGAATCAAAATTCAGCTTTTCGCGTACTTGTGAGTACATGTGGAATCAAAGTAAATTTGAATGACAAACCTTATAGAGTAATGCAGGTAATTTAAGCATAATACTTAAATACCCCACGTATTTTCCCAAAAAAATAACCTAATATTTCTGGAATATAGGAAACGCTTCTCAAATATTCTATTTGATTATTACAATACCACTTCTCTTAGAGGCTCTCCAATACAACAAACGACAAAATCCTCAAATGAAATATAATTATTTACTTAAATGATATAAGTAGACTTACTGCTTGCTGACTTTTGAACCGCCGGCTCCTTTTAGTGCAGATTTTCGGGCACCAGTTGAACCGCTTCCTGTGGGAAGAGTAGCTGACGAGCCCGGTCCGTCCAACTTACTTTCTATGCCAGTTGAATGTTTCGAGCTTCTACCAATCGAGCGTGGAAGTGTCTCTGAATAGCCAGGAGACGCCTGAAGAGGAAAATATCTCAAATTATCAGCGTAACCAACACTATGATTAAAACTACCAGGTAAAGTGGCGAACCTGACGAGGATGAGAAGATTCGCTCGCTTTGCTAGTAAGCTGACTAGGGGCTTCAAAGGCCTTCTCAGCTGTTTGCTCATTGGAAGCCTGTGAATTTTCCTGGCTCTTTCGCCTCATTGCAGGTGCCTTTAAGGACAGAATAGGATGAAACGAATTGGTAGCTCTCAAGCAATTGTTTAAAAGTTGTTACCGCACTAATTTCATAATTAAGGCAGAGAAAACTAAGACTGAATCGTCACATGAATGATTGTAATCCTGACTTTGCTTCAAAGACACGTCTGTCACTCATAAGTGAACCGACAGCCTAACCGGGATTTTCTGCACTGTCACCAGCTCATTAACGCCGAGCAGTTCCACTGACTTCTTAAAAGTGACGAGGGAGAATTTTATTAACGTTTCAAGGGTATTTTAAACACAACTGAGTCTTATATGACAGTTACGTGGTTTATTGAGTTCTGAGATTTACGCCATTTTCAAAGGCCAATTGGGTTAAAACACTACTAATCCGTTTATGATTCACATATTCAGAGAATAGATATTTTTTATCAAACCCTTCCGTCATTTTGCTTATATCTTACTGACGAAGGCGCTCCCAATCAACGATTTTTAATAATAAAACAATCACTTCTTCTAGATAACACACGTAATCATCATTCATATCAAATGGCAGGTGTCTTGATAGCCATCATTAGCCTTTAGCTGACTTTGGGCTTTACAGAGAGAACATCAAAGTGGCAAAAGTCGAGATGGGGCACAGAATAATGAGACAGATAGACACAAAGGCAGAGAAAATGTAAGATGAGTATGAAGATACAAACACAAAGGCAGAGAAAATGTAAGATGAGTATGGTGAAAGGGGTCGAATATGACATACAGTGGGGTCATGGTAGCGTGAAGTCAGAAGTCAATTGCCGATTAATGGGTTTTTTGCCGTACGAGCATAGGTTGCCAAGGATGCATCACGTGAAGGTAAGTCTATCAAACCCCCTAACACAAGTAATTATTGCAAATGTTTGGGTAATCCCTTTATCGAACGGTATGATCAAATATGCAACAAAACTGATAGAAACAACCATCCACACAGGCTAAAATTATCTCCCACACTTATGAGTTTACAACTCTTCCCCCCCTCCCCCTCTCACCTTCAGTAGAGGCTTCATTAAAATAAAATTGGTTGGTGCTGGACAGAAGAAAATCATACTTAACAACGTGGCATAACCAGTGATAAAGTAGGTTTTGGATAAATTGAAAAGGAACGTTCAATCAGTTGAGGTGCAAATCAGTATATATTCCAATTTTCAGCATCAAATGGTTGACTAACTTAATAGACTTTAAAGTCAACAGGCCAAATGAATTCGAAATTTGAATCAGTAGGAAACTGTTGCAGTAATGACCGATATGTATAATTTTCCTCCTTCCCCTTAGCTATTCGTCTAAGCCTAGCATGTACAATGGCTAGACAATCGTAACTACTAACGTTAAAAAGAGCAGCTAACTTGAAAATCTGTGCGCGAATATCTTCATCTTTAAACGTATATTCTCCCATTAAGGTGATTGGCTAAACGTTGAGGACATTAGTCTTCACTTGAATGGCTCTATTCAGGCGTTTTTCAGTGAGCCCTTCGCGTATCTATTACATTACTCGATGAAGTTATTTTTTTTTAGCGGCATTTATGTTAATCCCGGGGTGTGCGATAGACTTACCTCCACGTGGTGCACCCTGGGCAACGTATACTCATGCGGCAAAAAAGTCTATTAATCGGCAGTTGACTTCTCACTTCAAACTACCATCACTCCACTGTATGTCATATTCGACCCCCTACCACTGCTTATCTTACCCTTTCTGAGCCTTTGTGTCTGTTTCTTTTACATCTTTGAAACACCCTTCTATTCCCCCTCCTGAATTCTTCCCACTTCGATGTTTCTCCTCCCCTCTGTGAAGCCCGAAGTCAACTAAAGGGCTAATGATAACTATCAAAACGCCTGCCATTTGATATAAATAAATAAATGTTAATCCCTCACA